CGGGGCGCGCGCCGGGCGCCCTCCTGCCGCGCGTCCTCCTGCCGCGCGCCGCCCGCCGCCCGCTCGGCGGCCGCCCGCGCGCCGCCGCCATGAAGCGGGCGCATCCCGAATACAGCTCGTCGGACAGCGAGGAGCTGGACGAGGCCGTGGAGGTGGAGAAGGAGAGCGCGGACGAGAACGGGTGAGAGCGGGCGCCGAGCTGCGTGGGGGAGGTGGGGGGAGGGCGGCGGGGGTGCCCGGGGTGACCGCTGTCCCGCGCTCCCCGCAGGAACCTGAGCTCGACCGCGGGCTCTGCGTCGCCGTCAGCCACCTCGCAGATCCTGGCCAGGAAGCGGCGCCGAGGGGTGAGTGCCGCCCGCCCCGCCGACCCCCGGCCCCGGCCCGGCCCCTCACCCCGCTTTGTGCCCCGCAGATCATAGAGAAGCGCCGCCGCGACCGCATCAACAACAGCCTGTCCGAGCTGCGCCGGCTGGTGCCCAGCGCCTTCGAAAAGCAGGTAGGCAGGCGGCTGCGCAGGGCTCTGCTCGCCGCGCCGAGGCTCTCTGCCCGCAGCTCCCGCCCCTCTCTCCTCAGGGATCGGCCAAGCTGGAGAAAGCCGAAATCCTGCAGATGACTGTGGATCACCTGAAGATGCTGCACACGGCCGGAGGAAAAGGTAAAGTTCGGAGCTGCGGCAGCTGGGCTGCTGCGCAACGAGGATGGCAGTGCTGCGGCTCTTCTGGGCTCAGGTGTCTAGGCAGAGTGCTGCCCGGGGATAGCTCTGCCTCGTGCCCTACAGGGGAGAGGCACTGCGAGGTGCTGCAGCAGTTTGTCAGCACTGTGGGGTGAGCCAGCTGCTGGCAGTGTGGAGCAGTGAGGTTTTGTTGTTGTCAGGTGCCCACTCATCTAACGTGCCAAACTTCCAGAACATAAAACTGGAAAAAACAAGGATGGAATCAGAGAATTAGCAGAAATGGTGACGTGTGCTTTAAATGGGAGCAAATTTACTAGTTTGCAAAGTGATCTCTGATAAGTTAGAACTTGTGCTTGTAATGGATTTTGCTTTGCTGTAATTTTGCTTGCACTGGGAGATGTGAAAAGAACAAAAGTACTTTCAGAAGCGGTGTGCAATTTCAGTCTGCAGTCACAGGTCTCAGTCTGTAGTCCTGGGAGCTGCAGCATCACAGCACAGATATAAAAGAAGCCTGTTAGCCCCCAAAACAGACAACAGCAACAAAAAAGAAATAATAGGAAGCTTGGTAGCTAATCTGCATTTGGAATTACTAACAAACATCCAAGTGAAAACACTTATAGGGGAAGGTGGCATGGAAAGGCTGCGCGCAGGCAGTGACTGGAAAACAGTGTCTTAAGCCTTCATTCTTTTTTTTCTCTCTCACAGGTTATTTCGATGCTCATGCCTTGGCTATGGACTACCGCAGTCTCGGGTTCCGAGAGTGCCTGGCTGAAGTTGCTCGATACCTGAGCATTATAGAGGGCCTGGATGCCTCTGACCCGCTGCGGGTCCGACTCGTGTCTCACCTCAATAACTACGCCTCTCAGCGGGAAGCAGCAAGCGGTGCGCATGCTGGCATTGGACACATTCCTTGGGGCAACGCCTTTGGACATCACCCTCACATATCTCACCCATTGCTGCTGCCTCAGAATGGGCCCGGCAATACCAGTACTCCAGTGTCTTCCTCAGAACCGCATCACCAGGGCAGAATTGCCGCCTCACATGCTGAAACTTCCTCACTCAGAGTGCCCCCAAATGGCAGCGTCGGACCAGTGCTCCCCGTGGTCACATCTACTACCAAACTGTCTCCTCCTCTTCTCTCCTCCATGGCGTCGCTGTCTGCGTTCCCCTTTTCGTTTGGCTCGTTCCATCTCCTGTCCCCCAATATGCTGAGCCCGTCTGCACCAACACAATCAGCAAACCTCGGCAAACCATACAGACCATGGGGGACTGAGATTGGAGCCTTCTAAGAACTAACTCTTTAGTAAGGGTGGGGAAGCCTGCAAACCTAGCTGAGCTGGGTTATGCCACTCTTAACATTGAAGTTCTTAATAACTGGGACAAAGGTACAGCTTCACCTTAACTAAATTTGTCTAGAAACTGTCTCTTTGGATTTTTTTTTGTTTCTTTTTTGTTGTTGTTTTCTACATTTTTGTATTAGCGGGATTTTTTTTTTTTTTTTTTTTAATAGTTGTCTGAAAATAAAGTTAACAATAGTGGATGTTAACCCTTGTGTTAGATCTGTGCTGAACACTGAAATCAATTTTGTAACAGCTCGTTTCGAATGTTCCGTTTTTCCTGAGTACATCCGACTGCCTTTTTGTGAAGAGGTATCGCCTATTATTGTTAGCTACAGCCTAATTTAGTTATTAATTTTTCCAAGACCACTCTTCTTAACAAGCTGTGTTTTTGTTAATATTTTGACACTGAGATGTTCTATAAGGAATTACTGTTTTTGTAAACTATATAGGAGTCTTATATTTCTGAACAAAGCGTTGACAAATCAGATGGACCAGCTTGACCAGCTTTATCTACGAGCCCAGTTTCTATTTCTTCTGCTGTGATTTGGTATATTTGGAGGTCTTATTCTAGTCCCTAGTGGGTGTTTCTTTGCATCACAGAATCACTGCATTATTTCTTCCACCCAAAGGAGCAGTATGTGCTTTAGTGCAGACTTTAGAATGGGGAGGGTGCAAAAGCAAAATTAGAAACTACAGTTGGTGGTGAGTTTCATTGCTAGAGATGTGGAAAATTTGTTACCCACAGTAGCCTTCCAGCATGTTCAACTTACAGGGCCAGATTCTGCTCTGAGTTACAGTAGAGCAATTGCTGTGTTACTGGTATTCTTGGTTAAGTGAAAGCAGATTCTTTCTCTTTGTGAGCTTCAAATCTGCACCTGAAACAAATTATGCTGGTATTTAGATATCCAATGGAATGGTACAGTGGGAACCTGTTCAGTGCACGACTTCGTTGCTTAACAAATGTATCCTAACTGGTGCATTTTTTTGTTGTTGTTTTTGCATTTTGCTTTTAGGGGCAGTTCAGTGCTACTCCTCATTTTGCAAGGGCTCTGCTGCATTCTCGTGTGCGTGAGTGTGTGTGCGTATGTGTATACATGTATATTTTGTTTGATTTCATGAGAATCTTAATCTGAACAGGTTTATCTAGTGAGTTCCACTGGACTAGGTTTGACTGCTCTTGTATTTGTGTTGTGGTTAAATAAAGGAGAAAGAACAACGCATTTTAAATGACACGTTTGTCTGGTATATATATCAGCAAAGAGTTCTGTGCCTTTGGTATCACGGGCAGTGCTGCCTTTCTCTGGGCATATGCATTTACTTTGTTCTCACTCATCCATTGTGGTGTACTTACATACATGAATTGAGCGTAGTGTGAAGAACCACTGTGCCTCAGGACCACGGCCAAGGGAATGAAAGTTAAGGATGCATTTTGTGTGTTACTCCTCCTTGCCTGGCGGTATGTAGGTAGGAAGTGAAGAGATACGAGTTACTGCTAAAGAAGAGCTTAAAGTTGCACAGCACCTAATTACTCTTACTGCTTTGTCTTAATATTAAAAAATGATCATTGTGGATGTGGAACCCCTTCTGGTCAAATCCATGGAAGTCCTATGGCTTTGTGGCAAAGTTCTGTTCTTAACTGCCTCACTGAGTTCATGTTCTGTGTGTTAGTGAAGGGTGTACCCACTGACTCTGACTGATCCTCTGCTTGTCACCATTCAGTGTTAATGGCATGCTCTGCTGCTTCTTCAAGCAGCAGCCTGACAGGCTTAAATGTAGATGGAGAGTTTTCTCCTTGAAAGACGTATGAGCAGAGATCCCACCTGCAAACCTCTACCTGGAGAATTTCTCTTGGGAGTACCTCACTCCTTTCCCATGTGTTTGAATTTCTAGTACTCTTGTATTGGTACGTGGTGTATCTTCGTCTGGATTTAGCTCTGCCAGAAGAGCTGAAAGAGCTCGGCCCTGTGGGAGAACAGTGCTTTGTTTAAAGAAGGGCTCTCGGGCCAATTAAGGAGTGGCATTGACAAGAGGCTGAGAGGGCTAGGCTTTCTCGGAAGGATTGCTGTGAGGCTGGAAAGAGTGGGAGGTTATTCAAGTGTGTAACCTTGTTTTACCTTCTTTCCCAGACTGCAGGGGGCCACTGTTAGAGACAAAATGCAAAAACACTGGGGCAGCTAGGAATATATAGGTGTTATCGAGATTATCAATTATAGCGTTTTATGTATAAACATGGAACAAGAGGCTGTAAAATTCCAAACCCAGTTTCCTTTTCACAGGATGTATTGCCTCCTGTTTAGTTATGCTCTGCCTAGTGTTTAGGTTTTCATCCAAAATTAGTGATCCTACGTAGATTACTACTGTGCATGCAGCTTTAGGTCTTCTAATAAATGGCAACTTTTCTCAGCCCTTTAATGGTTATTTCACTGACATTCAAATTACTTTGCTTGCCTTTAAATACCTGGCTCTTTTGTGTAGAAAGACCCCTGCAATAGCTTCTGTTCCACTGTCTTAATTTTGAATGAACTTCAGAAACAGAGGGCAATAAAAGTTTAGATGCTGTGTTTATACTCAGTCTTCTCTTTCCATTACCAATGGCAAAAGTATTAAAGCACTAATCTTATTCAATTTATGCAATACATCTGTATTAACTTTTAGAGACTGAAAATCCACTGACTGCTCCTTAGAAACAGGTGAATGAATTCCAGGAACTCAGGAAAGCTAAAAATTCAAATGGAAAAAGCCTGACCCAGAAGCTGATGCATGGGGATTAGAAGTTCGGGGCTATATTACAACTTGTGCTGCTCACTAAGTCATGCTTGGCAATCACTTAGCCGTATCTGTTTTGTCAGCTGTGAAAAAGCAGTGGCATTGCTCGTTCTCTTTTCTTCAGGACAGAGTGGTAGCTGGAAGTTTTCTATGTAAATGACAGTTACTGTTGTTTCTCAAAAACTGAAGTTGTGAGACATTCAGCTATTTTTATTTCCTACAAAGTGATGGGTTTCCAAAGACAGAGAGAGGCAAAATAAGGTTGCTCCTATAGATAACAGATATTTCCTGAGCCCCAAGTATGTCCTTGTTTACCCTATTAAAAACAAACAAACAAAAACCTACCAACCAACCAAAAAAAAATAACACACAACCAACCAACCCAAAACAATCCAGAAGCAAAAGCTTAACCAGAGAGGCGGTAGAGAAGAAAGAAAATGCAGATGTGACTTGATCCCATGGCCCTTCCACCACCTTAAATTGCTTTGGATGAACTGCATCTGCCTGGAAATCCTCGGGCTAGCATTTCACGTGGGATGTAAGACAATGTGATATTTAAAATCAGCAAATACTATCTTCCTATATCAAAGAAGCTGGACTGGAGTGCGGAGTAAATTTAAGGAGCTGGTAAATACTGCGTAAATCCAGATACAAACCTCTGGAAATTCATTCTGTGCTTTGGCATAAAAGCATAGCTCATCAAAGTGACATTTTTTGCTTTTGGAAAAAAGCTGTCACTAGTTCTTATGCCCATTTCTGTTCAGCACTCCTGTCTTACACTCGTAGTATGACAGACTGTATTAGCATCATGCTAAAAAATGATGAATCCTGACTGTTGCCCTCCTCACTCTCACATCAGCATGTGAGTTCCCAGGTGACAGGAGCCTTTCTAGGCTTACTTAGCAGTGGGAAGCCTGCCAGGTCTTTCCTCACAACAAACGAGCCCAAGTGAGCACAGATAAACTGAAATCCTTCTTCCTGTTTTATATTGTGTGCCTGTTCACAGCCATTTCTTGCCAGAAACTCCCAGTTTGGATTGCAGTATACTCCATGCTGAGCTGAACCCTGCAGCAAATCACGTGCAGGTTGTGGGCTTTCTGCTGGGAGGCAACAAAAATGATTTGAAAGCCCTTTGCTGGGGTGTTACATGAAAGGCTATAGAGATGGACCGTGGTACTTGCCAGGTGACTCAGCATGCTGAGGCTTTTGCCCGGCTTGTAAATAAAAATTAGGCCAGTCTCTTTCTTCTGGAGCCAGAAGATGAAGGCATTAACTCATGCCTGCAATATAGTAGCATGACTGCAGTAATAAAAGTTGAAATGCCAGTGTCTGGTGAGATACGGGTATTTGAAGGTGTCTTTTGGGAATCTGAAGAATTCATCTGGAGAAAGTCTTTATGAAGGAAGTGCTTGGGTATTTTATGTCATACTCACTCATACCATCTTGTCCAGTCCATTTTTTTCTTTACCAAATTCATACAAATTATTCATACAACATGAAGGCATGGACCAAATGACTTTGCTTTGACCGTGCTGTGTGCAGCCTGCCCAAGCCTTCCCAGGACCACAGAATTCAGAGGCAAAGGTTCTTTTCAAGCTGTACCTTGTTCTTCAATCTATCACGTAAAACAGCCGTGTAACACAGCAAGAATTCTCCAAGTGCCTGAAACAGCTCAGCACTTGGGGGCATTCTGCCTTACTGATAGAGCCCTCAATCACATTGCATTCTTTGGACCTTTTCAGAGGCTTTTTCAGGCTGCTTCCTTCAGGAGAAGCCTCCAGGAAAGGAAAGGGGATAGCTGGATGCAGTTCTGCACATTTCTGTGCTCCTGCCTGACAGGGCAGCCCCAGCACAGGAGGTCTGTGCAGAGTACTGTCTTATTTCTGTGTTGGAAATGCTTCTGGGAGGTCTCCAGACAACCCTGTGTTTCTCCACGGTAAGCTGCAAAGTCAAGGAACAGACAGTAGTAATGGCTCAAATGTTGATGGTTTGTGTACTTCTCCATTTTGCCCTGAGTTTACGGAAGAAAGGATTTTGAAGCAGAAAGGTTGGTGGGACAGCCTTGGGGAGAGAATGGCAAAGAACAGGAAGGAAGGCTAATGTGGATCAAAGGAAAGCTAAGGCTGTGAACAGATGAAGAGCTGAATTGTTTGCTTTGTCTATTGCAAAGGTACGGAAACAACTGTTGTCAGATGACAAAATAAGCTGCATGCTAGTGCTTAAAGAGTTTGGAAAGAGGAGAACAATAATCTCAGTAAATCATAGTTTTGCTCAGTAAGCCAGAATCAGATAAACATGCAGAAACTGTGGCATGTGATTTAAAACCAAGATGGAGCTGAAACAAATGTGTGTGTGGATGTCGCTATCTACTTTGATGGGCTGTCTCATCAGGTAGAGGAGAAATAGGGCTTGGGTGGTCATTCCCAGCTGTAATAATGCATCACAGCATGATTTGCTGATCGTATTTGTGCAGTCTGGTCAAGTGAGTGTAAGGAAGTGGAAGAGTTGAAGTGTGGTCTATGAATGAGAGTGGTTTGTGGGGCTCAACACAATGGAGAATTTGATGCATTGGGATGACTGGTACTATCTCCTGATGACTGGCAGCCATTCCCATGAAGTTCTCAGCCTTAGCTGCTTCGTTCTTGGATTTTGGTACAGTGTTTTGGGGCACATGTCAGTTATCTACATAGCTATGAGATTTCCTTTACCATGAGGTGAACAGTACAGATCCACATTCTAGTAGTGAAAAACTGGATCTAGTGAAAGGAGTATGGAACCATTTTGGTAATAAGAAACATCCAGTAGAGAGAACTCACAACTGCTGACTTACTTTGCATTATACATATGCTATTTATAGTGCAGATAATAACGTGGTAATACTGGTTTCTATTATCACCAAGCCTGTCTTCTTTATCAGAGAGACCATTTCAGAGGCTGAATTTCAATATCAAAAGATGAAATGAAAAGAATTGTCACCTATTATTGTTCGGTGATGGTTATGTAAAAATGTGTGGGATTGTATGGTGATTTAAAATTGTAATGAAGGGGACTGAAGTGTGTGCAGTACGAACTCTTTCACATGCTATACAGCAAGCAGATTTTTTACTTCATAAGGAAAACATCAATTTGATTGAACAATGTGCCCCCTATAATGTTGTTGCCTATCTGTCTGTAGATTGCCCCTTTGAATTTCTCTGGGATTCATTGCGTCTTCTGTTAAGAGGAAATTATCAACAACAAGAGGAAATCCTGTACTAGTACTGAATAGTCCTTATTTTAAAGGTACTTCCCTTCTTGTGGGAATTGTATATAATCAGAACAACACTCCATAAAACCGACAAAATTATTTTAGAAGGAGACAGGTCAGCCTTTTATTTAAAAGGTCTGACGTTATTCTACAGAAGAAAATCAATTGTTAGAGTGGATGACATTCTCTGTGAGTTGCCTGTGCTTCACAAAGGTGG